AAATGTTTTCTTTTTGTTTTAGTGATGTGATTTGTCCACAAGGGTCAAGCGATATGCAAGACCCTTTTTCTTTTTATATTTGGTTATGCAAAGACTAATATTTACGTAGACTATGATCAAATTTTTCAAACTTTGCAAATAAACAACCTACAAGTTATGAAGCGTCTATTCCCAACAAGTCATTGAATAGGATAATACCAAAAAAGAAGAAGATTTGAATAATGATGTCTTTCACACCTAATGGAACGACGAAACAGTATATTGAAATACTTAATTTAAATGAGATTAATCATAAGTGAAACCGCAAATTGAAATATATTCATAAATTTAAAACAATTGCAGTTAGTTTTGTTCTCATCTGTTCGATTCTATGACTTGATTTTTACAAACATCTATCACTTACTCTACTCACCCTGCTATATAATACCTATACTTTTATGTTTGTCATATCTAGATCCTTTATTTAATGAAAATCAATAAAAATTAAATCACTATTTTGACTAGATGGGCTTGAGGAACTATTATTCGTTTAATTGGTTTTTATTAAGTACAATAAATTAACAAAAATAGTACTACTACATTCGGTATCTCTGTTCCTTGATTTGTTATATATTAACTCAGGATAGAATTGTAGAAATCATCATCACTCAAATAAAATGGAATACTCACAAAACGTTCAATTTTATACAATTCAAATGCCAAGCTGATGACAACAGCAACAAAATGTCTGTACCAGAAGCAAAATGTACCTTAACTTCATCGCAAAATTTTCCGTCAACTACACAATTGACTTTTGCAACTGGTTGGCAATTACATAGCAACTGCCCACCAAATGGTTTACACCTTCACTATGGAAGTTCATAAACCACTTAACTTCTCAATATGTCCCTCAGGAATTTGAAAGAACCTCTCCGCACAACAATGCGTATGTCGAACTACTTTCCTTCAAAGAAGGGAAAGGGAAACCAAAAAACTGTTACTAGAACGGTAGCAATAAATGTGCAACTTTTGCCAAAGGAAGTATCAACTTGACTGGCTATCAAAAATGGTCAAGCCAAGGAAGTAAGCATTACTGTCAGCACAAACACTAACAACAGCATTTGCAGAAGTTCAACAAAGTCCAATTGACCTAATCTAAGTGAGTTTGTTGATTAGTTCATTACACAGTTCCAATACAACAAAAACAACAACAATAGTAAAGTAGCAGTTGTTGGATGATTTAGAAGTTAGTGGGTGCCAAAATATTTTAATATGAGCAACTGACTAACAGCGACTGCGACAACGATAAGCACTTGTTGTAATACGACATTGGCAATATTGTGCTGGCAACTTTTTTCATCAATTTTAATGCGAAAATTCGATTAAAGTAGCAAACCAGTAACGGTAGACAAGAAGATTGAAGTACTTATCTGATTTGCTTGAGCTTTTGTAAAACTGACCCGTACTCCGGCATCGTAATTCTTAACTACAGAGCACTGCAGACAGTCAGCAACGTTTTTCGGATTACTCCTGTCAATTTGTGGCTTTTGAGATTGGTATTTTCATGTTGTCAACATTTGGCATTTGTTTGTTAAAACTCAACAGCACAGAAAATGACTGACTGATTCCAGTTGACTATTAAGGATAATGGCGCTTTATTCTGTCAAAAGAGAATTTAATTGAGCTGTCATAAGTTTAATTGACAAAAAAAAACTAGATCAAAAATAGATGAAAAATTGAAATGTTTAGAAATTAGTGAAAGAAAAAATAAACTTTATTGACCAAATAATTTTGTGATAGCTTTAATCATTACCATTATCTGTTTAAATTTGTGCTAATAAAATATGAAATCATTATTAAATCGACTAGACCTACCCGTTTTTGGGTTTTATTTTTGTTTTTATTCCGATATCATCAATTTTCATTAGTTTCTTATCAATTAAACAACTGTCATCAGTTGTTTTAGCTTTTTTGTCATTGATTTACTCTTTCGACCTCAGAGCGCCTCAATTCTGTTCCACCGCACGCATTCGTCAAATAACTAACTTCATAGCACCGCTCATCCTGTTCGCAGTGCTGGTAAGGATTGAGTTTTGCCGCCATAACGAATGCGGCAAATGCAGTTTACCTTGATTAAATTTGACAGTTAAGACTTTAAGCGGACTAAGTACTATGTTTGCGGTTTCTGGGTACAAGTGTGGTGCGGCCTGTCGCGACGACATTGACTTTTGTTCCTATTTTTATAAGTGACAAATCGAGTTCTCTTGTTTTGTGGTATGGAATTTTACCATCAAGTTTTTGAATGGAAAGTTTGACATTGTAGCTACATGGATCTTAAAAAATTATCTTATGCAATTTAAGTTTGAATTCATTTGAAATTAAATTTAAATTGAATAGTTTATAAAATATTAGTAGTTCATAAGATACTGAGAAAAAAATTTTTTTTAAAAAATATTTTAATATACCAGAATTATATAAAGACGAAATTTGTAATCATTTTGGAACACTTAATGATTAATTTAAAAACTTTGCTGCTATTTCTATAATATATAAAATATTACGGGATTAAGTTCAATATTAAACACTTTAATCTATTGAGGGTACAAATAAAATGATATTCGTTGATAAAACTAACTGACTAGATATATAGATATTTGTAAATTATACAGTATTCCTTAAACTAATCCAGTTGAGTTTCTTATATTGTGTGTTGAGCCTTTCGACTAAGGTGACATAAACTTCTCTTTTCAGAGAGCTTTAAGAAAAGTAAATGGGACAATTCTTCATGAACAGTCTACATATAACACCTTCAACACATAGGCATGTAATGATATTGCAAAGCAAAGAAGTTTTCTCTATATTCAAAATACGTCTTTAAATTAATTGAAAATCGAGAATTACAGCAAGAAATGCGGAAATGTTAAATTTTCTAAACGAACGTAATCTTACTCGTAATATCACAGCTAAGACATCAGCTGATAAATCCATAGCATGACACATAAAATATAGGATAACAAATTTCATGACAGTTGAGCGATTAAGTTACAAATTATGAGTTGATATGACTTGATTACAGACATGGTATACAGAAAGAAGTTAACACCGAAAGGATTCGTTTGTCTTATACACCTGTTTAATGTCGAAATTTTAAATTAGGGCTGAGTTTTCGTAGTTAAAATATGTATATAGTTAATTCGGAAACAACTCTTCAACGATTAAAGTTTATATAATATATGATGTTATGCACATAATACAGATTTTTTGAAATTGTAATTCTTATTTAATTTGAAAAATCTAAACCTTATAAAGCTATATTCAAGATATACAGAAATGAAATGGTTAATATAAAACATTTTGGTTTCATGTGCAGTTTTGTAAATACCATATATTCTGTGATCCAATTGACCTTTTTAAAATAGTAAAAATTAAAATGATTTTTATACCATTTTTTTTTTTTTGTTTTGTCATTATACCATATACTACCTTTTGAGATTTAGGTAGTGTGCCCTATTCGTTTATAATAGAATACACTCCATAAAACTAAAGAATGAAATATTCGAGCAATTGGACTATGAATTTAAATGTTGAAAATCCATTTTAATAGTCACAGAAACAATAAACTTAATTTTTAGAAATATAATTTTATCTCACCAGAATTACAAGAACGATGATGGAAATCAAATCAATTCCGGAAATGCTTCAATTTTGATTGTGTGAACGAACTATAATGGAATTGTTTAAGTTTGTGATACTGAAATTAATTGGAACGCTTGTCATATATTCAATATTGGCATTTGAAATATCGAGCTTAGGAATATAAATCCAATATGAACGAACAGTGTATGTTATGAAAAAAAAATTGTATAATATTTGCAGCTAAAATTTATTTAAGTGACTGTTTATATTCACAGATTGACAGATCTCTATCGTTTTTAATATGATTAATCTCATCAATTCGTCTATGGTCGTTACTTCAAATTATTAAGCGACCACAATGCATTGGCAACTCTATAAATATCAGAGCAACGACATACCATATGAATGCAGACACATTTTCCAGATTTCTAATGGAAAACGACAGCAAATTTAAACAAGAAGAAACTTATTATCACAGATAAAGAAATCATCACAATTTAGGCAATTCTCTTTAATGTTGCAATAATAGCTAATAGGAGCGATAAAAACAAACTTCTACAATCGGTAGAAAATATGATCATTAACGCTTCGCAACAGCACTTTTGATCTTTCTGCAATTTGCATCTTTTTGCTTGAATTTTACTGCAAGAATTTTACTACACCTGTGATTGGACTAAATTGAAAGTCGTGAACTATTGTAGCGAGCATCTGTAGCATAATCGTGCCCTGGACATTAATTTCTCTATAGTTTAGTAATTCTGTATTTGAAATTTTATCATTTGATGAAGTTACCAGGTTACGGAATGCGTACGAATATCTCTTATATGCTCTCTTCTATGTAAATATTTCTTAAACTGCTGATTACTAAATTATTAATTAGCAGAAATCTAATTTTAATGCTAATATAATCATTATCCAGATATCAAAATTAATATTTACTCTGTGAATAATTATAAGAAAGACTGCTAGAGTAGAAAATTATATGTGACTACTAACATATGAAAATGCGGTGAGACTATTTGTATATAAAAAACTTATATTATATTATAATATGTATTATAATATATTATATTATAATGTACATATATATTATACTATATACTATATTATATATAGTACATAGTACAGCATATTGTACTTAAACTATATTACAATAATAAAGCAATGTAAATTTTTCCATATTATAATTGTTATAGCAACTTTTCGTTTGTCGTATCATACTTTCTATTCATACTGTACGCAGCTGAGTTTTTAGTACGTGTAAAAATCTTGACAGCACTTTAAAAATGTAAACACCAGCTGTTGTTTTTGACGTTAGAAATTTTGCAATAAAACAAAAACAATTACTCGGCATCTGCCTTAAAAGTATATAAAATTTATTGAATGTCATGTAATATAACTAAAAGTATTGTTGGTTTATAATAATAATGAAGTTAAATTAAAGAATATCAGAGCATTATAAACGCGTTGTTGTGCATATATATTATATACTTCACCGACCGGTGGATAATTAGTTTCATGAAATCACTGGCAATACAAGTCATATAAAAATAATATTTTAATATCCTTAATCAAATTCAAATATAAATAAATTAAATACAAAGCTGTATGCAATATGAAGGTGAAACATTCCACACTATTGTACAGAACGTTTCCTGTAAGAAAGGCGCGACGCCAATACCGTCTGTGCCCAAACAACATGAGATATTGGATATTCAAGCCGATGCCTTGAACTTGTATGAAGAACTGGAATACTTATTGAAATTCAATGATGTAAGTTTTGTAATTCATCGCAATATTTATATGTAATCATGCTTATATATTACAGTCTAATAAACTCAGTGGTAATAATACGGACAAGCAGCAACTATCTGCTGCATATACGTCGCATACAAATGCAATCATTCCGAATAATCTTCACACAGTGCATTGTGAACAAACTGCAGATTATTCATTTATTGAAAATGTTAAGGATATAGAGGAAAACCCAATACTTTGTTATGAAGATGATTATGAACTGCAATCGGGAAGGACGTCGTTTATAACATCAGGAATATTTCGAAAACAAACTGATGGTTCCAATTCCAATGCAAAGTTAAAAAATCTTCAACAAAGCAATGAAACACAAAATGTATATTTAACTCCCCTAGAACAACGCGGTCGTATCATTAACACAAAGGAATTTTATAATTTTTACTTATTTAGAAATGTAAATAATCGAAACAGTATTGATTTACCCGAAGTACTTCCAATCAAAAGCAGTGAAACTATTTTAGCAAATGTACCACAATTGGTAACAGAACTGGCAGGTGCAGAAGAAAGCAATCTAATACCACACAATTTGGATACATTGTCGAAACTAGCATATAATATACTTAAATTCTCGAAACAGGATCGCATCGTTATTGATAGGTACTAAATGTTAGCTCAATAAATAAGTTTAATTTTATAAATTTGCTCTTGTTCACAGGAAACGTAATGAAATTTTACGCACTGAGTTAAGTACAAATCAAAAAACGGTTTATCGTTTTTTATTACCAAAAGATTTTAAACTAAAACTTAGGAAAACATGTAAAAACAAACAAATAATCAATGCAACAAATGAATCCGTAAAGCCAAAATCAAGGGTTGGACGTCACAAAAAGAAAACATCAACAGTTGCTAATGCTTTAGATAAATCACAACTCACATTCAAAAATGTGAATCACATTAATAAAACTCAAGGAGTTGCATGTGACAAGACCAAAACAGATAAAAGTCAAGATACTTCAATACGCACACGTTCCGGACGTCTTATAAAAACCTCAAAAACTACAATTAGTCAAGAAGAAACAAGCAATTTCGTACATGAATTCATAGAGCAACTTACCGACAAAGACTACAAATGCAGTAAAAACATAAAAACACCACAAACTACTGAACCTCAGATGTCAATACTTGAATCTGAACAAGAAAAGTCAACTCCAGCCACTACAACGCAAAGTAAACGTCGTGTGCCACCAGGATCGATATGTCCAACTTGTAATAAAATATTTTTGGGACGTCGATTACAAAAGCATTTCATACAACATCCTGATCATATGAAACAAATGCATTTAAGCTCCAATGAAGACAACCAAATAGCAGCCAATAATGATATTATGAATGAACAAATCCCGCCAAATGAAGAAATGTCATTGTTTCGTTTTTTCATATCAAAATTGCAGAAATCTAATCTCAATGAAGATCAGCGAGCCGAAATATTTCTTAATGAATTAAACGATTTTGTTGAACAACTGCAACTGCGTAGCTCACGTATAATTAGAAATACATCTGGTTTACACTTAGTAACATCACGTACAGCACGTGTCCTAGGTATACCCGAAGGTCAGTATGCGCTCGATATGACAGCTATTGAAGCACCACCAGAATTAGATACATCTTGCGGTAATTATGATATGTTGCAATCCCATAAAGCACCACTCAGTAATGTACGCAATATTGACTATACAGCATTGAGCATGTCTTTAGATAACACTATTACTGATGAGGCAGCACAAAAGTTAAATCTATCAGCTGGCGGTAAATTACTGCCACCATCTGAGGAAAGTCTATTGCGTGCTGTTGATGATTTGGTTGGTATAAAGAAATTGGTAGATGGCAGTTTACTTAATCAAAGCGGTCACCATGGCAGATCAAATGTAAGTTCTATAGTACCACATTACGATCATGTGAGTGACAATGCCGTTGAGGCCATGACTATGAAAGAAACAGTTGTCAATCCGCAAGCACCACCAATTTTGGATCTATCGGTCGACTTTTTTAAATTTAACAAAAATTAATGCTGAAAATAATATATGAAGAGATATGTTAAAGATTATAAGTTTTTATATCCTTAAGTTATGCGAAAGGATGTCAGGCGCGCATGTGTTTTAAAAAGTTTTTAGATTTAAAATTTTAAAATTCGTTTATTGTATATTTAGATTTTATAATGATTTTAAATATTTTAAGCATAATGATATTTATTATTTTTAAATATGTTAAGTATGAAAAAATCGAAATAATGTTTGAACATATTTATAAGATGTATATGAGTGTGTGAAATTTTTGAAATCATGAATTTTAATTTTTTTATTATATAAATAATTAATTTGAATAAAAACTAATAAATTAGAAAAAGTGAAATGATGATGTAAATTTCTGAAACTAAACATTGTGATACTTGTTATATATCAGCTGTAATTCATATCGTTCACTATTCTTACGAAAGGTGCATCTCCTGCATGATTGTTAAGTGGATCTGATGCGTAGAACCAGATGTCTTTACGATTACATTTAAAGTTTTCTATTAAGCAAAATAAATCAAGTGAAGATCTAATGTAGTGGCCATCTTCTAGAGTTGTTTCTAGAGTAATACAGAATAAAGTGAAACAAGTGGCCATATTCTAGATTTATTCATAGAGTAATACTGAATGAAGCGAAACAAGTAAGACTTGTGGTAAATAAGGACAAAACAAAGTATTTTCACTCAACAAACAAATTCCCTGAGCGTCATGGGATCCACGTCACTGTTAACAATTATAAGTTCGAAGTTGTGAAAAACTTTGTTTATTTATCTTCAGCGTATACCCTAAAGATGACGTCAGCCTTGAGATGTGACGAACAATCACTCTTGTGAACATATGTTATTTGGGACCTAGTAAGCAATTGAGAAATAAAACCCTCTCTCAGCAAGCATAAATCACACTCAATGATGCCTGCCCTGCTGTATGGTGCAAAAGCTTGGACAATTACCAATAGTGATGAAAAGGCGTTAGGAGCATTCGAGAGCTTCAGAAGATCTATGGTCATGTACGCCTTGGCGACGAGTATCGAATTCGATGGAACGATGAACTGTATGAGCTATACCGCGGCATTGACATAGCGCCTAAAAACTCAGCGGCTTTACTGGCTTGGTCATGTCGTGCGAATAGAACAAAGAGCTCCGGCTAGAAAGGGGTTTGATTCGGTACCTGCAGTTAAAAATCGCAGTAGAAGACTTCCGTATCTTTATGGGAAGGACAAGGTGTCTAACAATTTGTGGGCGCTTGGTGCTATCAACTGGCAACAGCAAGCCATTGATCAAGCTGGCTGGCGGATGCTACTGCATGCGGCAAAGAATGACTCACGTCTGTAAGAATCAACTAAGTAAAGTAAATAATACTAAATGTTGGTATTGCCATTGGCAGTTTTAAACTTTTTTCGATTAAGCAAGGTACAATTTATCGATTTCGTTAACCTTTTTTAGTTATATACTTATATAACAGTATGGTTATAATAGTATGGTGCTAACAGATTTTATACATCTCAAATTTGGTCATCTCTTCGACTTTATGCCGTTATTATTTCTGCTGGACTTTTACCATTAATAGATTCTATAACTGTCTGTCAAAAATTAAATCATACAAAATCATATAAAAACATCTAAGCAACTTCAATTATTCGATAGCTTTTATAAAAATCTTAAGCGACAGTATATACATGTTATTATAAATCTTAGTACAAGGATTAAAGGTACTTGCTTATCATTACAAATGTCTCCAGGGCTTATAGAACCCCAATTAAAATATCCTTACGACTAATGCGAAGAATTAAATGTACATGAGATGTAAATATAACAATGGATAAGTTCTATTATATTTCGCTCCATAAGGGTGACACACCTAACTCTCATGAAATTTTTATTTTGACTAATAAAAAATCCATTAGCCCCAAATATTTGTTAAATTGAAAGAAATAATGCAATATTACAAATAATTGTACTATTGGTCAATAAACCATTAGTTAAAGCTCCAATTAATTCGCTATTAATTCTTATATCATTTAAATAAATTTTATTAGGTTTGCAGATACATATAGTATTGAACTATTCTATTTGAGTTCGATGAACCTATTAAAAGAGCATCAATACGTAAACTAACAGTTTTTAAAATAAACAAATAAGTCAATATTCCGTAAATATTGTGCAGATATAAAAAATTCATGTTGAAAGATTTACACACTTGAAATGCACTAATTAAGATTTATTTAAATGATATAGGAAAACATATGTATATATAAGTGTATTTACTACTCATAAGACATATCAATATTTCTAAGATTTATATAAGAGAAATACGCAGAGTATTATATAAATGGGTCAGATGTTTTATTTAAGATATCGTTAAAAATATTTTGTATATTAAATTCAATATTATATTTCAAATAGAAGAAAGTGTTTTAATATACAAAAAATGTTAATTTTAATTATACTTTTATTATCAGTCCTTAGGTAGTAATTTTTTATTACTTGCTTACTGTTTAAAAAGAGTATACCTATTTATCTTTTATAAATGTTTCCGAAAATTCTGTGATGGAACGACAAATCACGTGATTCCTTCAACTAAGGAAACGAAAAAATTTTGTTGGAGGGGTTAATCTATTTCTAATATTTAACGAGAAAAGTCTATCGAAAACAAATCCTCAATTTCTTTAAAATGGATATCAATTAGATAATTTAAATTGTAGGTATATATCAGTCTTTACTCTATTAAATATTCTTAATTCAATGTCGAATAGATTTTTTAACTTAGGATCAAAATAGATATTTTATCATTTTAGCACAAAAAATATAATTTATCTATTTCTTTATCTCCGTATTAGAGCGACTCGTGTTTAAGAAACTATTATAATTTTCAATCTATAAGGCATATAGATTAAATTGCTATATTATACAGTGTATCAATGGTATAACCTATGGTAACTTATGTTTCTTTTATGTGCTAAAAAAAGTAATCACATATGTGGCCAATACAGATAAAATATTTACCTCACTTGATACAATAATGGTACATTAATTCTTTTACATCTTGTCATTATAAAAACTACAACACTAAGTACAATTAGAATTTTTTTTAAATGCTGTGAAATTCTACCTCTGCATTGTAGATTGATTGTATGATATGAGAGAGCAACACTTCTTGCCTGGAACTGAACGTTATCTTCTGTTACACATATAATTTCTAAACTCAACAAAAATGTCATAGCCCCAACACCACAATATCGGTTGCGTTGTGTACTTAGCTCACTATTTTCCAGCTCTGACACCACAGAGGTCTACCCTCATTTTATCCTTTTAAAAGTTTTAAGAGCGCGAATATATTTATTTATATAGATATTCAACTGATAAAAGCATTATATTAATAAAGAGTCTCTTCAAACCTTTCGAGAGATTATTGTCATTTAAATGTATATATAGATATTTAACTGATCAAAGCATTATATTATTGAAGTTGCTTTCCAAACTTCAATCAAAGGCAGTTGCCTTTCCCCTCAATAATTACGTAGTAAAAATCAAATACTGCTTTACGGGGTATCTCTTTTTATCATTTTACCAAGAATCTATTATGGAAAATATCTTATTTCAAACTTTAGAATAAATGGAAAACTTTTGCTTCTGAGATTATTGGTGGTATAAATGAATAAGTTTATTTTGAATTAATCGATTACGAATCTATCTTATTAAACCGTATAAATCCTAAAAGAACTTTCTCTTAAATACTTAAAGCGAAAAATACTTTAAACTTGTAGAGTACAACCTTGACTTTGTATTTTATTGGATTTAAGTAGTCGCAAAGTCAATATTTTCAAAATACATTGTGACCGAAAAGCTTTCGGAAATTCTCATTTAAAATTCGCGCGCTGTATATTTTTCGATATTTTAAGTTTATGTAGTTTGGCAGCACTTGTCCTCAATTACTATGCCAAAAATGAGCGCGATCTGTCAGACAGTTCGTTTACGGCAGCTGTTGAAACCAGTTCACCTCAGTAGTGCGTTGCGAAAAAAACAATGGAAAAAAATATTGAACAAAGAGTTTGCATCAAATTTTGTTTTTCGAACGAAATTTCGTGTGCAGAATCGTTGCGAATGCTACAAAAGGCTTATGGGGAATCAGTTTTATCGAAAACTCAAGTTTATGAGTGGTACAAAGCCTTTCAGGACTGTCGTACGACCGTCGAAGACATGCCGCGTTCTGGACGACCTTCGACCTCTACCACCGACGAAAACATTGAAAAGGCAAAGGAAATCGTGTTCAAAAATCCTCATGTGAGTGTTAGAGAGATAGCACGAGAGCTAGGCATCGGTCGTGAGATGGCTCGTTTGATTTTGGTGGACAATTTGTGTATGCGACGTGTCAACGCCCGGCTTGTTCCGATTCACCTCAATTTGTTCAACATTATCAACGATTTTAAGGCCAAACATTCAATAAATACCATCGAACAGCCACCGTATTCACCTGATCTTGCACCGTGTGACTTTTTCCTGTTTCCCAACCTCAAATTACCACTCAGAGGAACGCGTTTTGAATCCATAGAAGACGTAAAACAGAATTCGCAGAGGGAACTCAAAGCCATACCGGAAAGCGCCTATAAAAAATGTTTTGATGATTGGAAGAAACGTTGGCATTTGTGTATCGCTTCTAATGGAGCATATTTTGAAGGAGATAAAATAAATATTGATGAAGATTAAGAATTTTGCGTTTTATTTAAAATTTTCCGGAAACTTTTCGGTCACAATGTATCACTCATGCCTATCATTGGTAGGCATTTTCTTTTATGCTTCACTTGATAATCATATCACGAGACATGCATATCGAACACAATAAAGGTATCACAAACAAATAAACAAATATTTTCGTTTATTTAGAATTCTTTTGATGAAAAAGGGTCAAGTAAGTTCTTTCGTCCATATTTTTGGCTAATGGAATTGAATTCAGAGCTAATATTAAAATATTTTCGATGTACTAATAAAAAAGTAAAGCAGTTCTACTTAAGCAGTCATCATGAGTACTTTACAAAGTTTTCGAAAAGAACAACCAAAATTTGTGATACCTATTAGACGTCACAGTGACTCTAGCTTAAATAATTTTAAAAAATTATTTATGGAAAACACGAATGAATTTTGTAATAACACAACTTTACATGGCCTGAAGTATGTTGCAGACAAGCAATTGCATCCAATTGAAAGGTGATTAGTAGTGATATCATTTCAATGTGGTGATATCATTTCAATGTAGTGATGTAAAATTTTATATTAATATTTTGTTTTATTATTTCTATAGAATATTCTTCACGCTTTCATTTATTGCAGTTGTAGTCGTCTCAATGTTTTTTATATCTAGTGCTTACTCAAAATGGCGCTCAACTCCGGTAATATTATCACTTAATCCAGAACCAACAAGTATTACAGAGGATCCTTTTCCTGCTGTTACTATTTGTAATCTGAATCAAGCACTAAAGAGTAAAGCCAAAAGTTATAAGAAGTGAGAGAAAAATTATATATTTTAAATGTTTCTTTAAAAAAATTTTATAATATATTTTATATAACAGGAACACTACTGAATATGAAATATTAAAGATAATTTGTGGACATAAGTCATCGGTTAAAAATGCTTCAGTGCCAATAAACGATTGGAAAAAATTGGATCAAGTTATAATTGATGTGAGTACTTGTAAATACTACTTGTAAATAGAACTATTAGCCATAATTATAAGAACTACTTAGGGTTCCAAAAATAACACTTTAACCTATATATTATATAAACCTAAAATAGAATAAAATATTATATAAAAATCAGCTTTGAAATATGTAACATGCATGAGAAATTATTACAAAAATTACAGCTAAGAAGTAGATTTTTTTACAAATAAATTACAATTCTTCCAGAAACTACATTTAAAAGTATTTTTTGACTACCGGATCATTGCAGGATTTTTCAGCCAAAACCTACTTACTATATACCTTACATTGAAATGATTTTTTCAAATATTTATAAATAGATTAACATTATTTATTAGATCGATTATTATGCCCATAGCTGTTGTTTGCACAAGTAAGTCTGCATTGCTATTCGTAGATCAGTGAGATATCGTTGATTTCATTGAATAACTAAAATTGATTAGTTCTAGGACTCATAGTACTAATGATGACATGCATTATTTAACAATTCAGTATTACTTAAATTTTTGCATTAATATCAGAGCTCACAGGATAGACCCTAATGCCGTGAAAAATAGTTTCTGATACAATACTATAGCACAGTATTATATTAAATCCTTTATTTTAAAAAGTTTGATGTCACCTTCTAATTTCAGGTATCACAACCATGTTCTAGACTATTAATATCATGTCGATTTGGAGCTATAAATTATGATTGTAAAACTATTTTCCGTCCAATAGTCACAGATGCTGGTCTTTGTTGTGTTTTTAATATGGTGCATCCGGAATTTATGTATATACCAGAGTAAGTTTTTATTTTAATACAACTTTCTTTATTAAAAACTATTGCATGCTAAATAGTGACTTTTCCACTATTCTGAATTTTACCTATTAGTTTAGAAAAGAGTGGAAGCGAAGTCAAGTTAAGTTTTAGATCACCTCTCTTTTAAATTTCAAAAAAATTGTGGGAGTCCCTAAAATAAATCTAAGATTATTAGATATCTTAGCCAATCTAGGTCACCTATAAGATTTGAAAATGATTTATATTGAGTGTAAAATCTACAAAAATTCTACTACGAAAGTAGGTAAGTCGTATACTATAGGTTATTTAATAGTTAGATTTCGGAACGATAAATCTCAAAAAAATGAATTCTTATCAAAGAATTCTCAATGAATCTTACAGTCTTAAAGATTTATAACAGCAGAACGATAGAATAAACGGTGGAATGTATAGAGAACATTTTACTTTCATAACAGTGTCTTAAACTACATCAGCTTTATGATTAAAATTCCAGAACGATACATTTTAAAAAAAAAATCTCAAATGTAATTTATAGTCTTATAGACTTATACATAATATATAAGTCGAATATATATAAACGATGCTTTAAGCAGTTATTATGATTTAAAAACTGGACTAACATTTATTTATCAAATCAACAACCATAAGATTTGATATTGGGCTAAACCAATATTTCGGAACCAATGTTTAAAATATTACAAATTTATTATTTCCATCTAAATTCTCTAATTATTTCAAGATTGTTTCATTTTCAATAATTATTAATAATATTCTTATTTAGTGTAAATAACATTGAAAACATTTCATATACTGATGGTTCTACACCAGTAGATTGGGATCCCGAACATGGATATCCAAAAAATTTACCACCACAATATTATCCAAGAACAGCCGTCGGTACTGGAGAAAATCTTGGTTTCACTGTGATGCTAAATCTAGAACCAGATGAATATTATTGCTCATCTTCTAATGGTATGGGTTTTAAGATATTTTTACATAGTCCCACCGAAACTCCACATGTTAAAGAGGTTGGACTCTTTTTAGCAGCCGGAATGGAAAGTAAATTGCGTATACATGCAGAAAAATTTGAAACTGATCTAAAATTAAGATCAATGCGTAAGGACTATCGTAAGTGTTTATTCGACACTGAAGGAGATTTGGTATATTTTTCTTATTACACTAAACGAAATTGTGAAATGGAATGTCTAACAAATATGATAATGAAACATTGTGGTTGTGTAACATATTATATGCCCAGAATGTACAAATATAGTAAAGTGTGTAGTGTTAAAGATGAGGAATGTGTGGAAAAATATCGTCGCTTGTCGATGATGCCTGACGATCAATTATACGATTGTCATGATTTATGTTGGCCAAGTTGTTTTGATTTAACATTTGATCCATATCTCTTTAGTATACCAATATCGCATCATGGCTTTACGGTAGATCATCCGCTTATCGACAATATGTCTAGTGAATATGCTTCGAATAATATAGCGATTGCACATATGTTTTTTAAGGAGACAACGTACAGAAGCAGCAGACAAACTGAATTCATTGGCACGACTGATTTTTTATGTAATAAATAATATAATAATTATTTATCTTAATAGTAGTTAATAATTTTCATTTCTTCATTAGCAAGTACAGGTGGTTTGATGGGCTTATTTGTTGGTTTCAGCTTTATATCATTAGCTGAATTCATTTATTATGCTTTAATCCGACCCTACTATAATATGCGTAGACGTAGGCTTGCTAAAATATTAAAGAATAAAAGTACGACGAAAAACAGTAATTTGGCTTCTCAAAGGCACTCATTTACTCAACAGCTATATAATCGGTTCAATGGGCATTTCGGTGATTATTTGACAAAGTCTGAAACTAAAAATATGAACAAAATTATTGTAACTCCGAATAGCGCAGACAAAATAAACTTTCCTATACGCGGAGACGAATATTATATCCTTGATGTCAACAAGTGGATGGCCAGGAAATCTCACACAAGCATGAAACCCTTGGACAATTATTTTAATTGAATTACAGCATTGTAAGTCAAGCATGCCAGGACGTGTACGCACAGAATACGTTAAATAAACACACAAATTTCTCATATATCCTTTGTTAACAAAAACGTTAAGGTACACTGAGTTTCACTTCACTTTAAAACTTATTTATAAATATAATAATCAAATTTCGATCAATTATTAATAAAAGTACATTGAAAAAATAAAAGATGTATACAAATATTCTGCATTGTTTTTAGTCTACAAAAATAGTGAGATTGCACTTGTTGCTACCACATTAATTTTATCTTCAACCCCTGCATTAATGACTATCTATACACTGCCAAAAATTTTTAGAGTTTATTGAAATATTTAACATACATATGCGTACTTTTTGTGAATATACACCGATTCTAGAAGAAATCGAGTAAGCAGGAAACTTAATCAAATAATGAATAACCTTACTTGAATATTAAAAGTAAGAAGGAGGATGAACGTTGGGTTTTATAATAAGCTGAAGACATATAATGTAAATAAGTGGACCTATGTGGTTTGAGAGAGGTAGAAAATAAGGTGCTGAACTTCAGTTATATTCAGTCAGTTTATTTGTGATAGAAAACTGTTCACCATTTGACTATATACTAATAAAGTTGTCGATTGGTAAATCTGAATTCAATTAGTTTTACTCTCGATCTACCAAATTTTGTTGCCCAATCGAACATTTTTAGTGTAATCTAATATTTTTATAATAGTGTCAGTAGACATTTGTATTTTTCATAAATATATATATCGAATCAATGCACCCTTTATTGGTCAAGCCATATAAAACACCTATTAATTTCAGTGTAATATTGTTAATCTGGCAAAATATCTAGAGTGTTATAAATGTATCTCGTTTGTTATATATTTTGTTCGAGATTTACCAATCGAAAACGAAAATTGCACTAAAAGTAAATCTCGATTGAAAAAATTACCCCAGACTTAACAATCAAAAACGGCATAAGAAGGACAGTTCCAAAAGATAATACACGTACGTGTGTTAAGCACTCTATTGCTAGGAAGATGCAGTTCGGAATAGGAAATTGCTTTAGTATATTGATATTCAGATGTCTGAGTTGGTGAATCAGCACCTTTACTCTATTTTATCTGTGGACAGTTTTAAGTCACACTAAGAATAACTGAATACGGGGCTTTATAATATAATGGATCTGATATCTTTGTATCTGCCTGTGTTTATCAAATTTCGCTGTATTTTTAGGATGCTGAGTGTTGGATTATTGTGACTGTCAATTATATTGAACAGTTTCAGAGCATGATCTTTAATGTATTTTTCGACTGAAAACACCCTTTAACAATAGACAGTCGTTAGTGTCTGTTTATACTTCATGATTGATTATGTCTTCATGATTGTTGGCATAGCCTTGCTTGAAGAACTGACGCCTTTCAAATCCGCTTGTTCACTGTAAGCAATTATTCTCTTCATCTATTCGAACTCTGCGTTGCCGTTCTCCTCTACTGTACCATGAAAAATTTCTGTTAATATTTCTTCCTGTAATCGGTCTTTAGACATATTTATAATATAACTAACTCATTTGAATTTTTGCTTCATGGACTTGTGGACTTGTGTTTGACAAATAGGTTCTGTACTATTAATCATTTGTTACATTGAACGGTATTAGAACAAAGTTCCATCATTTTTAGTTAACTTCAAACAAAAAAAAAAGCAGTTGCAGGCTTACAGCCTTACAGTAAATTTTTACAGTGTATCTAATTATATTTATATAACTCGTATAATGCTTACATTTAATGCATTAATATAATTAAATGTTTTTTATTGTCGACACTGAATAAAACGTTTAAATTTCTAAACTTGCAACAACCGCCTCGCAGTATCAACTTGTACTACATTTTGACTGGAAGTTTTAGGTCATAGCCGAGAAGGGATATGTTTATGAAAAAGAGAAGTGTTTCCAATGGCTTGAAACAGAAAAATAAATTCAGTCTAAGAAAGACATTTAAACGAAATACTGATGAGTTTTGCAAAAATACAACATTACATGGACTAAAATACATAACAAGTGACGAACTCTATCCATCAGAGAGGTATATTATCTCGTTACTCTTTTGATTATTACTGAAATTATTTCTTTTTAATTCAGATGTTTCTTTGGTATCTCATTTATTTTGGTATTGATTTTGTCAAGTATTTTCATATTTAAAGTCTATGATAAATGGCAAACGTCACCGGTTATATTTGGCATAAATCCTGAACCTACTTTTATAACAAATGAACCTTTCCCAGCGGTAACGATTTGTAATTTAAATCAAGCACTGAGATCGAAAGCATCTAGATTTTCCAAGTAAACTTTTATGAAATTTATATACAATTTATTATTATAATTTTATATTTATTTTATTATTTCTAAAAAGTTAATGCTAAAAAGCTTTTGCATTCATTATTCAAATAATTTCAGTTCATCTCGTGAAAATAGAATGCTAAAGATGCTCTGCAAAAACAATGTGAATGCAACAAACAATAATAGTGAGAAAACCTGGAATGATTTACCAGAATTCATAGTTAATGTAAGTGATATTAATATAATAAGACCGAGGTTGATGCTTCCACGTAGTATTCTCTTTCTGGTCTAGTACGTTATATGCTCATAGATATAAAATTAAATGCTCCATCTTGAATAAAAATACGGACGTAGTAAATTAACCTATTATTTATACATTTAATTGTTAAAAAGTGCTATGTGGCGTATATATATTATATTTGGCTTCAATCCATAAAATTTCCAAAATAAAATGTTTAACCTGTGATAACTAATTTTTTATACTTGAGAATTTTAATGTTTTTAAAATATTTAACTAATCAAATCTCAAGGTACTTAACAATTAGTTGACTTTGATAAGTGATGTGTTTTTAACCTATGATATTTTCCTAATGTAATTTACCAGTTTTGTCTCTCTTCGATAAACGTAAGGTAAAATACAATTTACGCACTAATCGCACATTGTTAGCTAAATGGGAGGGTGACAATACACGTGGAACTTAGAAAACCTTAAACAGTTAATATGTGAATATACAGCCAAATTAAAAATAATTTAAAGCCTCAATTAACTCGAGACATTATTGCAATACTTTCTCAGCATTACGTTCCTAGATTAGGTTCTAGCATAAGAGAGAAAAAATCATACAACAAATAATGCCTCTACAAACAGAATAGTATTGAAATTTAACAATTGAAAATAAAATTATAATTAATTAATTAATTCAATTATTCTACAACTGGTTTATGATTTCGTTCTAATATAAACACAGCAAGTTAATTTGTTAATAAAACTTTCACAGCAAAGTAACAAAACTCCAGAAAAATGTGCGAACATAAAAGTCAAATACGACTTTGACTCAGTTGGTTAAGGTGTGCTGACTCTGAGCTTCAAATTTGGCAGGACCTGACACGCAGTCTCAAAAATTTATTTACGAATAATTAAATACAAGAATTATTTCTAAGACCACCAGTGGCGTAACTACAGGGAAGCGACTGGAAGCAACGCTTTCGGGCCCCCGAATTTAGGGGGCCCCATTATGAATTTATGTATTCATTGTATTTATTTTTAATAAATTCTCAAAAGTAGGACGAAACGTTTTTTTGTTGGAATAACTCCATATTGCACCTGCTCCATATTGCATTTTATAAAAGATACTTAATTTTTAAATTAAACCTATTTATAAAATAAAAAAGTTTTTCTAAGAAAAATATGTGTCTTAATCGAGAGTTTATGTGGATTTGTACGTTGTCTTATGCAAATATCAGTACAGTATATACCAAATTCCATTCGAATATCTTTATTAAAAACGGAGAAATCTCATATCTGATTGTTAAGTTTATATCGCAGCTATAAGAAATAGGCGTCAAATTTCAATCAAATGGTGAACAGCATCCGCTCCCGAAAAGTATGTGTGTAAAGTTTCATTCGGAGAGTTCAAAAGCTGAGAGAGTAGTTTGAACTGAGAAAGTATATATATACTGTAGTGATATATACTTAATGGTATTTCCTACGTTTCCTTTAATGCATTATGAAAATCTTGAGAAACCTTATTTACCCTTTTTAAATTTTTTCGTGTAAAGGGTATAAAAAGAGGTTAGTAGGGGCCCCTTAGTTAGAATTTGCTTATAGGCCTAAAAAATGTAGTTACGCCACTGAAGACCACTGATGATGGGTATTTGGCAATACTCGAAACAAATAAATTCAAATAATTAAAATAATATAAAATCAATATTTGTTGTTGTAGTTCACTACTGTTCGAAAAACCTCTTTCAATACTTTATTTAATAGTTATAATTTCAACAATTTCAGGTTTCTCAACCTTGTCATAAGATGGTGGTTGGCTGCCGTTTTGCAGGTAGCGAATTGAACTGCAGTCAAGTTTTTCATCCAATTGTCACAGATGAAGGACTTTGTTGTGTATTTAATATGCTGCACCCGAAATTCATGTATATCGGAGAGTAAGAAAACTAAATTATTCTAAATTAAAATAATATATTTAAATTTTTATTAATAAAAATTATATTATAAAACTATCCACATATTATTAATTTATATGTGCATATATATCTATGTAATATTTATGTTTATATATAACATATATTATATTTTAATACATAATTACATTTAATATTACAATTAATATTATTATATTATTGTTATATTATTATCTTTCTATATATGTATCTGTATTTTTAGAAATCCTTTTGTAGTGAAAAGATTTTCTACTGACACGAATGTTCCAGTTGATTGGTATGCAGAACGTGGATATCCCAAAGATTTATCTAAGGATTTGAACTTCTTTCCGCGTACTACACCTGGAGTCGGAGAATCTTTAGGTTTATCAATTACACTAGACGTGCAGTATGATGAATATTATTGCTCTTCTGGTAATAGCGTTGGTTTCAAAATAGCCATACATAGTCCGAATGAATCACCAAATGTACTTGAAACAGGTGTACTGGTAGCACCGGGACGTGAAACTAAACTTAGAATACGTCCAGAAAAAATTGAGACAGATCAACATTTACGTACAGTAAAAAAGAAATATCGACACTGTCTATTTCACAATGAAGGACGCTTGAAATACTTTGCTCACTACACACAACGTAATTGTGAGATGGAATGTATCGCAGAAATGGTACTCCAGCATTGCGGTTGTATTAGTTTTTATATGCCAAAAGTTTATGAAAATGTTACTATTTGTTCAATTTACAAAAATTCATGTGTAGAAAAAGTACGTCTACGCAAAGATCCTACAATCGAGTCCTGCATTGATAAATGTTATCCAAGCTGCTATGATTTGACATTTTATGTTGACGTTTTCACTGCAATAATCTCACATTATGGTTTTGAAATTGTAAATCAAAAAGTAGAGGATTTTGATCATATATATGTGGAAAAGAATATCGGTGTAGTCAATATGTATTTTAAAGAGAACTCCTTTCGAAGTCATTTACAAACAGAATTTATTGGTATATCGGATTTCTTATGTAAGTTGGTTTTAACAATATACGTAGTTCTAATATAGAATACTAATACATTAAATTATATTTTTATAGCTAATGTTGGTGGCCTCATGGGTCTATTTCTTGGTTTTAGTTTCATATCCATTGCTGAATTTTTTTATTTCGCTATAATGCGTCCATGTCGTTCGCTTCTAAAACGAAAAAATTCCAAAGGAATTGCAGTGAATTCAATACCCGTTAGTGGTACAATCAAGAAAATATCGAAATCTCAACGAAATCATTTATCTGATATGCGAAAATATTCCAAACAGCATTTTGTTGATTGTGAAAAAATTGGTAAACGTAAGATTTTTGATAAATTTATGGCATCTCAACGGTGCGATGAGGATAACATTTTTGAATATAAAGACGATAATCTCTTAAGTATTTCAAAGTCGTTGGAGTCCAAGGAACACAAACAAGAAGATTTTATTTCATAAGTATTATTGTAATTGTTTAGATTCAATCTTCATAAATATTTATAAATATAATAAATATTTTTCCGGAAAAAACAACAAAAACTGTATCCAATTAACTGAATATTTCGATTGAGAAAGGAGCTGTTCCAAATATTGTCATTATCCATATTATATATTAGCTATTTTGTCATATTACCAAATATTCACCATCAGATGACTGTGAAAATATTTATTGGTTCTATAAGTTTGTACATAATATTTAGATCTAAAATGCCAGGCTTAGAACTTTCAACCTGTGAAATTGAAAGCAATGACTTCGTGAAATCAAAACCAAGTGACCATTCATGTGCTTTTTCATATAAAACACTTAAAACTTATATATAATTGCAAAAGCAACTGATATAAACTGAATTCCAGATCGCTACCAATATACCAAAACAAAATTATGATAGTACCTCTTCCATGCGTTTTTCGAATATCAAATTCCGCACACTTTTTACACAGAAAAAATTTTCTAAATAAAGTACTGTATTAATTCTTAACATCACCGACTTCTTTTCATTTTTTTTTCATTTTTCATGACTTTACAGTTTGTGATACGTTATCGAATTCGTTGTCTGGTGTTATATCGCTAATATTAGGCTATCAAATCCTTGTAAGTTTAAAATAATCTATCAATCAAAGGTCACTGGAAGTCATTAAATCAGTTACCGAATTAGTTGGCTGACCATCAAAGCTGGCCAATCTCCCTACCTACCTAGTAGAAAAATATAAAATTTTCACCAATTTGAACTACTATATTAGACTAGCAGTCAAGAAAAATTTAGCTTTATTTTATATAACTTTCAATTATTTTACAACAGTTAGGCTACTTATAAAGTAAATACAGTTCCTAAATGGTAGAATCGACTTGATACCTACACTATTGTATACTTCATTAAATATATCAGCATTATAATAATTGAATGACTAAGATGTGTATAAGCCTTAATCTATAGTTTAATTATATCTGAATTAATAAATGTGAGAGTGAGCAATCCAATACAATAATTTATTCCCAAACTAAATATATTCAACGAATTTGTTATAAAATTTATACTCTTTTTCATTAAGTATAAACACTAGGGGTGTTAGAAAAAATTTTTTCTTTTAGTATAGAAAAAACACTATAAATATTTTATTATGCTCTTTGAATTTATTCTAATATCTTCTTTAATCGATAGACATTCTCTAACAATGTTTTGTTTGGGAACAATAAATAGTCGCTGTGACGATTAGTCAATTCGAACGAAATCGCATTTCCAGATGGCAGATGGTAAATGTGTTACCCTTAATATATGTATATGCCCATGGTAACTGAAGTACAAACTGAAGCCCATTTGAATTGAATCTTTAGATTATTATTAGTAAAGCTTTGACGTGAAATCCTATCGTACCATTTACATCAACAATTACCCAAAGTTTTTAAAACTTTGTAAACAGAACTAAATCAAGAGAACAGCTCTTAATCTGTTCTGGTAATAGAAATTCCATATGAATCAAGTTTCTTCTGTGCGTTATTAAAGCAGCACAGTCACAAAAAATATGCATAGTAGTTTCCTCATCTTTGATGTATAATCTGCATTCCGAATTAGCAGATAATCGTAGTTTATGAAGGTGTTATTTCAGGTCATAATGACCTGAATCTTTAGATAGTTTGAAGATTCCTTCAATACAATCTTCGTCCCTTTGAATCTTTTGTTTTCAAAGATTCACTCATTATTCTTGTTAAACTTAACACATTTTAATAAAATCTTAGATATCTTTTTGTTTTTGACAAGCATTTCTTTACTGTACGGAAAAGGTTTATGTTGTCCAGTCACTTTGAATCATGGAGTTTTTGATGCATAGCTAGCCGATTATGATATCAGTAGCTTATATCCAATACCATTTAATGCACTTTTCGTTGTTTTCATAAATGTTGTCACTATGTAACTGGACACAATAATCTACAAGAACTAAGTTGCTGCAACCATCTTTAAAGTCATAAACCTATAAACCTATAAACCCTATAAACTTTATGTTAGAGTAATTCGAATTTAATTAGTAATGTCACATTATTTTCTAACTATTAAAATTCAATCACAACTCCATACTTGTTTATTCAAGTGTTTGTAAAAACGGAGATAAACAAGTATGGTCGGTTGGTCAAAAAAATTATTAAAAATAATTTTGACTGTAAAAACAAGTCATGTTTGTCAAAATAAGATTTTAAAGTATTATTCATAAATTGCTTCATGTCTTGAAGCAATACTTTTCAAACATCCCATTTACATACTATATAGCAAACTCAAAGTATGAATGATAAAGTTTTAGAATTGATACTATATTGAAAATATATATTTTATTTTACATATTAAGTTTATGACTTAAAAAATGTGTTCGTATGTATGCCTTATGAACTTTTGTAATATAAGTAAAGGGTAAGAAATAATTCTTAAAAAATTAATACTAAAATACAAAAGTTTGAAAGTAATCAACTACTTGAACATAGAATTAAGTTATTAACTGTTCTAGACTAGTCGCGACTGTTAATACTTTATTCAAATTACAAGTGAACTGCAAGACCCATAATTCATAATATTATCTTGCCCTTAAAAAAACCTTTGGCTAATTTGCTTAAAAAAGTAAATAAAATCCTTAATACATATTACTTTTAAACATTTCTAGTTAAAAGTTCGGTGTGTAAAGATCGATTAACATAGACATGGTTAAGATACGCGATACTTCGGTTATAAGTTCTACAAAAAAATTTGATAAAAAGAAATTAAAAGCAGTCAAGAATATTCTTAAAGAAAATACAAGCGAATTTTGTAAAAATACAACAATACATGGAGTAAAATATTTTGATAATGAGGATTTTAATAAATTTGAAAAGTATATAATAATATTCTTTATCTATCTCAGGAATATAATGATTATAACAATAATTTTCTTAAAGGTTATATTTTATACTGGCTTTCATATCAGTCGTATTATGTTCAGTATATTTTCTGCTGAAAGTCTTCGAGAAATGGACTACAACGCCAGTCATTTTTAGTATTAATCCTAAACCCAATTTTATAAGTGATGACCCTTTTCCAGCAGTGACCATATGTAATTTAAATCAAGCTTATAAAAGTAGAGTTAATCATTTATCGGTGTAAGTTTTTCTGCGTAATTTGTAATATTTAAAATAATATTAATTTATTCTTTTATACATATATTTGTGCACAGGCTAATTGGTCAATGTCGATCTAGAACATCATCGAATAGGATATTGACCAATTAACCCTTCAAAAATGTGTATAAAAAAATTAATAATAATTATTTTCATTTATAAAATTCTTAATAGTTCCTCACAGGAATACGCAATGCTACAAATGCTATGCAAGCACACCAATAATATAAATACGTCTATAGCCAATTCCATTACAGATTGGAGTAATTTTGAGCAATTTATCATAAATGTAAGGTTTCTCAAAATATAATTAGTTTTACATTAATCAATATTTTTTATTCATTTAAGATATCGCAGCCTTGCAATTACATGCTTATCGCCTGCCGTTATGCAGCAGCGGATGTGAATTGTAATGATCTATTTCATCCCGTTGTAACCGATGAAGGTCTGTGTTGTGTCTTCAATATGGTACATCCCTCTTTTCGTTATAATACATTGTAAATATGGATTTTAATATAAAAAAAATATATTTAAGTAGTATTCTCACTAAATCTTAAGGTCTCATTTGGATATGAATGTGACGAATAATGATGGATATGTGCCTGTCGATTGGAATGCGGAATATGGTTATCCTGCAAAATTACCTTCACGCTTTTATCCACGCCCTATTGCTGGTACAGGCGAATCATTAGGTTTGTCACTTATCTTAGATGCCGAATCGGAAAATTACTATTGCTCATCTTCGAACAGTATTGGTTTTAAAATCTTAATGCATAATCCATCCGAGTCACCGAATATGCGTGAGATTGGCTTATTGCTCGGTCCAGGACGCGAGACGAAAGTTCGTTTACGTGCCGAAAGAACAGAATCAATGCATACACTCCGCACTATGGCAATGAAATCTCGTCAATGTAGTTTCGCAAATGAAGTTAAATTAATCGTTTTTTCACACTACTCACAGCGGAACTGTGAAATTGAGTGCACTTCACGGATTATGTACAAACATTGTGGTTGCATTTCGCACTTCATGCCAAAAATGTATGGAAACGAAAGTATTTGTAGTATTTTCGATTTGAATTGTGTAGAAAGTGTACGTTTGGGTATACTGAACGATCGCGATATGTTAGATTGTAGCAATCAGTGTTGGCCGAGTTGTTATGATGTCACTTACTTTCCCGATTTTTTTTCCGCACCAATTTCTCATCTGGGTTTTAAAATATCAAGTGAAAAATTAAATAATTATAGTAGTGCTTACGTTGAACGAAACATGGCTGTGGTGAACTTATATTTTAAAGAGAACTCCTACAGAAGTATTCTCCAAACTGAATACACAGGCATTACTGATTTTTTATGTAAGTCTATAAAATAAAATTATAACATACTATACTTTTAATGTGATATTATTTATTTCCAGCTAGTGTCGGTGGCATTATAGGTTTATTTTTTGGTTTTAGTTTCATTTCACTTGCAGAGTTCATATTTTTTGCTATGATACGCCCATGGAAAACTTTGAGAAACAATAATCATGTAATTGAGGTTAAGAGTGCAGGAGGAAATGAACAAAATATTAATGAGTCAAATCGAAATTATCGCAATAATTTTCAAGAAAGTTTTTCCGACTATCAACACAAATTCAAAAGTAAAAGAAAAATCAATTTAGATAAATTACTGTTAAATGAAGTTATTATCAAAAATAATTCCAAACGCGCTGATAGTAAACTACAATTGTTTACCAACGGAAATATTAATTAATTAAAAACATATTTTGCAGTTTATAATTAAAACAATTCAATTATCAAAATTAATTAAATTAATTCATATGTTATATAAGTACAGCACTTTAAAAAAGTGAAAGTAATTACTTATTATGCTTAAAAAAATTAAATTAAAATCTAATTAAATAAAACTGAATAATGCTTTTACATACTAGAGTATTACTTTCTCGAATATCTATATAACTAACAATACCCCCTCTTAAAAAGGACATTATATTACCTTAAAAGTTTGAAGTGATTTTAAACTCTTAGATATTCATACGATGACTTTGACTATCAACGGGTTTAACTGGATGCTAGGATATTCATCATATCTTAATCTAACCGACCTAAATATTCAAATCCATCTGATATTGTTTTTGTAAAGCAATTTTAATGAAATAAAAATATTACAAATTTATCATTCAATTGAAATTAATTTAACTAACTAACTAATTATTATTTATAGAAATGTGCTTTTGTCATTTTTATTCTATTACATTGACCTAAAAAATAGAACGTAGTTACATATATTAAAAATTCATTCTCGTTTCTTCAATTACACGAATAATCTTTTAAAATTTTAATGCTATTCTACTTCTTTAATTGTTTTTCCAAGAATTGTATGTTATACAATCATATAAATTACAATATGTTAGAAATAATGTTGTTGAAGTTCCCTATGTCTCTAGCAGTATGTACCAACTCTCCACTCGTTTTTTACCCAGTCCAGTGTCTGATGTTTCTCAACCAAGACATCTGTTTTCTTCCCATGCGGCATTTGTCTTCGATTCTGCCTTTCACAATCAGTTGCAGCAATTCATATATTGAACCTCGGATGATATGACCAAAATACGTTGTTTTTCTTATTTTGATAGTTTTTAGGAGTTCTCTATCTTTTCTTAATCTTGTTAGAACTTCTTCATTTGAAACTTTGTCCGTCCAAGGAATCTTCAGAATACGTCTGTAGCACCACATTTCAAACTCTTCGATTTTGTTTATTGTTTGGATTTTTAAAGTCCAAGATTCCAAGCCATAGAGTAGAATGGGCCAGACATAGCATTTAAGGTAGCGAATACGTAAGTTCATGTTGCTATTGCATAGCAATTTCTTGAATTTGTGAAAAGAGTTTTCATCTCTAATCGACATTTGGTTTCTTGATCTGTCCACTCTTCATTTAGCCAGCAACCAATGTATTTAAACGTATTATTAATATATAATTAATTAATTGAAAATCTCATATACAAATAACACTCAAATATCTGAACAGTATATTTTAATATTTAATAATTGTTCTGTTAAATAAATAAAGGTATGCTAGATACAATACATAGATAAGCTTTATATAAGATCCGTTCTATTTTAAATTTGGTTAAGTTAGAATGGTAAGATTTTCCACATCCTGCCGACTTGATTCGATAAAAATATACTTCAGACAATATTAACTGACAAATGGTTGTAAAACAGACTGAGAAGAGTAGAAATATTACACAAGAGGTCTGAAGTATACATTGTAGTTCCATCGAAAAAGAAGTTTTTCATCTTCAGTTTGTATTCCTATATTAAGGAATAAAGAATAAACATATTCCTACTATTCTAAAGCATATAAACTCGTTTTTTTTCCTTTTTGAATTGCGTCAGATTTTTTTGATTGCCTATACAAATAAAACACTCTAACTAATTCCACACATATAATTAATATATCTGAATTGATTCGAATGATAAGGCTTTTTTAAGTGTTATGCTCTTTTTACGTAAAACTGGCATTTTATTGTTTTTGAGGGTAATGAAGTGGAATACTTTATGCACTGTCAAACCAACCGTCACCGGAATAGTGTATCCGGCTCCTACTATGTAGTATATGAACTAAAACACCCATTTTTTTCTTTGGGAATTCTCCCCTCGTTAACTATTCACGAGGGGAGAACTCTTGAACCTCCAATTGGAGGTTCCCTCCACTCTTGAACCTAATTGGAAAGTCTCCAGAATGCTCTTGGCTTTGGATTAGGTGGTATCAAGGTCTAAAATGGCACTATAGCCATTCGATGTATTCGTACTTTAGTTTTATTACTATTTCTAAGTAACCTAGAATAGTGTTGGTAATATAGCAGACCAGACTACCTATTTTCAATTTATCAAAATTTAACAAAATAAAGTTTTCTTCATATTAAAAAGCACTTCTGTATAGCTGTGGTTTATGTGATTATTTAAATATAACAGAACAAGTAAATGAGTAAGTGAAACAACTGCAATAAACTGACAAGCCTCAAGGGTTTGAGCTTCAAATTTTGCAGAATTTCAGTTCAAACATTGCAATATAAAATTGTATATAAACAATTAGATGTGAAAGTGGGACTAGTGTTCGGTATTTGAGAACATAAAAAACATCTATGTGGGGAGCCAAAAAATTATTTAATTATGTATTTAATAGAAATATATAATAAAATTTTGCGATTGCAATTGATTACTATTTTTCTTTTTTCTATTTAAAAGTAGGGTCAACGTCAGATTTGACTTTATTTAGAATTTAGATTACGAGTATAAAAGATTACTCTTAATAGACTAAAAATTTCATTAAATTAATTAGTCTATACACTGTTGAAATAAATATTGGGCCCTTCCAAATATCTTAAAAAAATTTATATAAGTATAGGCTTTCTTAATTATAATGGTAAAAGTAGGAGTAAAACATTTTATGATTAAAAACTCTTTGCATTGCTATAAACTAATTCATACACCTTCAAATTTTGAACTGAACAGAGGAGAGACATACATAAATACTATAGAAGTATAACGCCCATATTTATCCACTTTATGGCATGACTGCAAATATTTTGTAAAAGTTTTATTTGCCTAAAGTCAATATGATTATCCTGATGATATTCGATTAAAATTGAAATTTTTCAACTATTTTGTAATCTGTGAATGCCATCGAACAGTGATTTTTAAAGTAAAACGAAGAGTACTTACATTACAGTTTCTGTTCAGAATTTGATTGAAAAACATGGCAATCCAAACGGAAAATAAGAATTCGAAGAAGAAATCCAAAGTTACTGCTAAAAAGAACAAGGAGAAAGGTATATAAATCGCACATCAGATATAAACTAATTAATTAATTATTAAATTTGTAATTAAAATATTTATATTTAGTTTCTAATAAAATCAAAGAAGCTATCAATTCCAGCGACGATGAATTTGTCTGTAGTCAAGAAACAGTGAAGAGAAGTATAAAATATTATTTGCAGAATACAACACTACATGGTTTAAAGTATATTGCCGAGGATAAGATTACAATTACAGAAAGGTAGTTAAAGATTGACCATAATACATCAACGTATACAAAGTTATTAAAAGCATTTCATTTTTATTTTTAATAGAATTTTTTTCGGTTTATCGTTTTTACTGGTAGTCTTACTATCCGGGTTCTTTATATCGAATGTATATGTTAAGTGGTCAGCTTCACCAATTATTATATCGACAAGTGCTAAGCAAACTATGGCAACTAAAATACCATTCCCAGCAATCACGATTTGTAATCTAAATTTGGCTTTGAAGAGTAAAGTAAAAACAATACCAAAGTAAATCAAACAAAGAGTTTCATTAAAATCAAACACATATAACCTATTACTTATTGCAAATATTTTAATTATACATTTGTATTATTATATTATCTATCATATAAACCATTTTTTTAATGAAAATTTGCCAGACGGAGCGCAAACTATTCCTTGCTGATGAGTTTATGTGATCAAGGAGATGATTTGCAAGTTACATTCAAAGGCACTTGGAAGAATTTTAGAGCAGTATTAATAGATGTAAGTTAAAAGTATGATGTAATTAATAACTGTAATATAGACCTACTTACAAATACATAAATCTATATATAGATCTATACTTATACTTATAAGTATGGATAAATCTACTTAAATTTATAACTATACTATAGACCTACTTATAAATACATAAATCTATATGTAGATTTATACTTATATTTATAAATATAGATAAATCTACTGAAATATATTAACACATAAGATATTTATTTTTATTATAGGTAGCACAACCCTGTGAACAAATGTTGCTATATTGTAGTTTTGGTGCTAAAAATGAAAATTGTTCATTAATTTTTAATTCCTTACTTACTGACGATGGTCTTTGTTGTACTTTTAATGCATTAGATCCTGTGTTTATGTTAAGAAACGAGTTAACTAATTTATTTGTTTATATCATAAAATATTATTAAATTGTTTAATTTTTAATTAGCAATGAAAGTCGCATATCCCCAGAAGTAAATGATAACTATACCGCAATACCATGGACAGCCGAAAAAGGCTATGACGGTAACTTGCCAGATCGTTATTATCCAAGAACTTCTGGTGGCACAGGTAAACGCATGGGTCTAACAGTTGTCCTAAACGCATCTTCTTCGGAATATTATTGCAGCAAATCTAAAAGTCATGGTTTTAAAGTAAGTCCAACTATATAATTTTGCAATAAAATAAATTTGAAATCAATCGTTTCTCAACAAATGTAAAAGGTTCTAGTGCATAATCCAGCTGAGCTACCTAAAATAAGCAATTACGGTTTCTTGGTAACAGCTGGACGTGAGACACGCATACCCATTCAGCCAATATATGAAGATGCTATACCAAGCATACGTAGCATCAAAAAACAAGTACGCCGATGTTTGTTTTCGGATGAAGGAGATCTCATCTACTTCAAGACATATTCACGTAAAAACTGTGAACTGGAATGTGAAGCTAAAATACTTATACGTGAATGTGATTGTATGCTATATTATTTACCACTATTAAATTCTTCAGTAAATATATGTGGACCGAAAGATAATACTTGCACAAATCGTATACAAGCGGCTATTGAATCTACTGATAATAATATATCATGTGCGTCATGTTTGCCAGCTTGCTTTGAGTTAAGCTATAGAGTTACACTTACTTCTACTAAGATGACAGATGCAGAATTTCTTTGTACTGATGAGTATCCTTCTGAAATACTGAATGTAAGCAACAAAGATATTGGTGATCTATCAATTTTGAATTTTTATTATACTTCAAATGCTATTCGCAGCACTACTAAGTCAGAGATGTTTGGATTTACAGAGTTCCTATGTGAGAACTGAATTATACTTTACATACAATTTTATTTTAAATTAATTTTTTTGTCTCTTTATAAAGCGAATACTGGTGGTTTGTTGGGTTTATTTATGGGTTTCAGCATTTTCTCCTTAATAGAATTGGTTTATTATGTGACTGTGCGACCCTATTGTGCTTTACGTACCATGGATATTTCACGTCGTAGAAAACGATTAAAACATACGGTTAATTGATATATATATATATAAATTGTATATGAGAGGGTTAATTATTTATTTTTAGCTACCTAAATTTTTAAAGCGTAAGTCACCCAAAAAAGTGTTTACTTCAAAAATCTGGAATATGGACACACCAAAAAAAAACTTTAATAATTTAAAATACAAAAATAATTTAGATCAGATACTTTTGCAACAAAATAAAATTAAGTTCGATAATACTCTCGTTTATCCTTATGTTGATTGAAATTACTCACAAAAAACAAAATTTATTTTTAATATTAAATATACTTTATATGATTTATTAAGACGCAATGTTAGAAGCCTTTACTATTTTATATATATCAAAAAATTATAAAACATTTTAATCTTAGTTCCCTTAAAAAAAGTTAATAATTGTAGAAAAAATAAATAATACATTAATTATCAATTTTACTATTCTGTTGTTTTATTTCTTTTTTCATAATTTTTAATTATTTTTATCAATACCACCAGGTATAGTATTAAGATGTAGGTCACTATTCATTAATGCACCCATACGATTTTAGATCAAAGAATATTATATATTCTAAAACCTTACTTTTGACATTATAGACTACTTTCTCGGTTTCTTTTATTCTAAAAAATAAATACTGATCCCACCAAAGAGTGCTCCGGTTATCTTATTTATAAAAAATTCTTTATGAATGCGAAAAGAAATTCCATTTAAATTTAACTATTTGTGGATTCATAAATGAATATAGTTGGAACAAGATTAGGAACTAATATTACAGCAAAAATAACAAAAACATGTTATGGTCATATACACAAGATGTTTAGATATCTGAACACACAGGATGTCTCCATCGTTCTCAAAACAAATGCAACATATTTATTTAGGATATACATTTCACGTTATCTTTTTATTCATATTATTTTCGGAATAATCAAAGTTACTTATTCAAATTTGAAAATTTTACAACAGTTTACAATTATAAAGTCACTGGCAATATGTCATATCAAAGAGGGGCTGAAGAAAATTCTATGCACGGGAGTAGTTCGATGTGTACGATGTGTACTCATACGATTTAGTGAATTTTGTAATAGACTTTGATAGATTAAAGAACATTTTCCGACATGAATCAAAAATGTAGAGGAAGAAAATGGTCTCTCAATCAAAGTTTATCATAATATCAGAATAAGTCATTAAGGATTTATATAGGGACCTAAATGTTTACTGATTTTTCATACTTTCCAGGGAATCGGTCAGTATTATTTATTGTGTAACTTATTATACAGTTCTCATAACCTTCTGTAACGATAAAATCTTTCAGATTACGAGTATAATGATATGGTGTCGAAAACTTACTTATTCGCGCTAATGTAGACGTAAATACCGCTTTAAATCATCAAAATACTGTATTAAATACCCCAGAAAGCTAGACATTCGATTCATAGAAATTGAGATAAGGTAATAGATCCGTTTTCTGACAATCGCATTACATAAAATAAGCAGCTGCTTTATTTTACCTTCCATAGCCGCTTCTTTTAAATATTTCTCAAATGTTTTTATATCGTCGAGTCCATGTATCCATACAAGTGTTATGCAAGTCTAATAATAATTAACCTAGATATAAGATTTTCCTTACTTCGGATCGACTTGAATTTAACAGTTTCAATGGAGACAGATCTAGAACTAACAATTCTTTGGGTAAATAAACCATAATTTACGCTGTGTGTTTCTTTTTTGCCTTTAAAAGAATTCAATAATTAGTTTTGTCTAAGAAATTGTTACTAAAGTTCCCAAAATAATAGTAAAATAAAGCTAGATGCCAGCATTAGTAGGTTCTCTCGCTATCATTTTGAGAAACTTTTGCTTGAAATAGAAAACATTTCGACAAATATACCGGTAAGATGATTTTCCCGGTTTTTGTTAATCATTGATCAAATACGGAAGATACTCTGAGTATCTTAATTGATGTGATAAGTGTAATATGACCCATTTTACTTTGCTTTTAATTAAGTATATGTATGAATCTCTTTGTATTTTATTTAGTTGCTATGTTTTAGCTATGTTTTACATCTGAATATTAGAAGCATGTTAAAGCTAATAGTTATGCAAATATTCTGAACTATTCTGAACTACCTATCTAAGAGTTCATAAAAATATGGACCATTAATAAATTTACAAAGCTTAGTATATTGAAATTTCTAATATCTGTCATACAGATTAACGAAGCCCTTGATTTGTGGGAATATCAAAGAGTATTGAAAATTGAACAACTGCTTACTAAGTTAGTATACGCATGCTTTAAGAACAAAATATAAGAACCAGATTTATGAAAATAAACTGCAAGGTATAACTGACTTAGGTCAATAATATAGTAAAAACTACCAGTAAGCTAGCTGCAAATACCAAAACGGACGAAAGCTGAAAACAAGGAATAATGCTTAGAAGGACATGCAAAACAATCATAATAACTTAAAGTGTATTACATATAATGTACAGTACAGTTTAATTGCAATTCTTATTAATAAATATTCAATACAGCGTTGATAGCACTGTGCCTGAGTACAGGTTCAAATATGGTCTATGTTTAAAGCCTACTAAGGACTGGTCTAAAAACGCACTTTTAAAACCTTAAAAAACTGCTTAAGGACTCGTTTCACAAGTACAGGTTCAAATAGTCCTTAAATGCACAAAAATATCTATTATAAAGTCTACTTAGTAGTTTTATTATATGTGATATCGCTAAAGATCAATAGCTGTATGCGTAGCTAATGGCCAGCCGGATTAGTCCAACCTATTAATATTACAAAAAGCAAAACATAAACAATAACCATTTGTTAATACTAAAATAATTCAACCATAAACACATTTTTTTATTGTCTATGTATTTTATATTAAATTTTTTAAATTTTAACTGCGAACTTGAGCATTTGTATAGCTAAAAAAATAAAACCATAAAATCTTTTTATGCAAAAAAAAATTTTCTATTTTTTGAAAAAAATTTTTCTAATTTTCGGAAAAATTTTAAAAAACTATACGTGGCGAACACCTCATGAAGACTACATCTTAAAATATGTATCTTCAAAAGAATGTGCACGTAGCAAAAAAATTTTTTAAATATTTTTCGAATACTTAGCTGAAATTCTAAAAAATTACAAACAAAAAATAAAAAAATAAAAAAATAAAACATCTAACAATAAAACCAAAAAGAGCTGGAACATTTTAAAAGCAATAAATTAACCAAAACAAAATAAACTGAGACCAAAAAATAAGCAAACCATTCCAAAATTAGAAAATATTTCTAAACAAAACCGGAAATTGAGGTCGGGCTAAGGTAACTACACGGTATAAAAGTGGGTAAAAATTTGACCCGAATTGGCAGTGGCGCTGCGGTTGGACATCATCGGATAGTGACACCGTGTTAACGTATATTTTCGATTTATCGATTACTTCTGACGCCACATTACGTGTTATCAGCTCGCAAAAATCTCTTTGAACAAACCGAAACCTTTTCAATTAAAATTTCCTGAACACATACGAAATAATTAAGTAAATTAAAATAATATTGCAATTATAAACAAGTGTAGTAATTGGTATTTGGCAACTAATTTGATTCCAAATTAAAGCAAAAATAATTTGCATATTTTCCTTAAAGTCGCAATCGAATTCCTATTTTAATTCTTGAATGGATTCGAGAACCGTTTGTTAGCCTGAATATGCAAATAAAAATTGAATGTAAATATTCTACTCTTACTTTATGACTAATTCTATTAATCGAATCCATGCTTTCATCCATGTGCTTCTTTCTATATAAAGAAAATAACAAAATTTATTTTTAAACGGGAATACATATCTAATGTATTATTAGTACGAGTATATAGGTATACAGCACTACCTGATGTTAATTGGATATTTTGTTTAAAGTAAATATAATTTTATTTAAACAAATGTTAACTGAATTTTCCGCTATTTTTTGTCGATAATTTTAAACAATATAGTGGAAAATTGTTTATAAAAATTAAATGAATTTACTCATAAATTAATTTTAAAATAATTATACACACATATATATATATATTTTGATCATTTATAAATATTTATCTTTTAACAAATTCAATATTCTGAGTAATCGATGATAAAGACTTTTGAAATTTGTCTTTAGTCTCAATACACGGATAACAAATGCATGCCATGTTCAGAGAAGTTGACGTATAATAACACAAAACCAATTCGATAGCATCTGGACACTTGCACAGATTACTTTTGAAATTGAAAAATCCAACTTAATCCGAACAGAATAGATTGATATAAAAATTAACTGGATTCCAAGCTTCTAACGAAGTGAAACATTGCGATTATGGGAGATCACTGACTCTTACCGAACAGTTGAAAACCCAGTCCCTCAAATTAAGTCCAAAATATCTGTTAGCAGATAGAGCTATATGATCTCGTTATATCATTTTGTTCCTAAACCAAATCAAAGCCATACAGCGACAGAAAGCTCAGTTATCAGATATGTGCCCCATCGGAACTTACGTTCTGTATACTCAAACGATAATCTTGTTAAGATAGCAACACAAGATTGTCAAGATGAAGAGCGTTTTGGCATAGTTCCTGAATAATTTAGCTTTTTATTTGAATAGTTAACTGGAATGTTAAGCTATTAGTGACCTTATGCAATTATGATTCATTTCTATCATAAACTTATTCCACAAGAAAACGAATTTAGTAGGATTTTAATACATTATTAAATTGTAGTGCTCGGAAACCGCAAAGGTGCCATCAAAAAGATCCCGATCCACAGAATTGAGTAAGAAAAAGTGCATGAACAGTTAGGATGAATGAATTTTCCCGAGCACACACATTTGACAGTGGATTTAATTCCGTTGTTAAATTCGAGTGCTCGGTAATTGCAATGGTACCATCAAAAAGATCCCGATCCACAATATTGAGTTAAAAAAGTGTATGAGCAGATAGGATGAATGAAGTTTCCTGGGCACGCAGATTTGACAGCAGATTTAATAGAGTTTCATTCCGTTGTTAAATTGGAATGCTTGAAAATCGCAATAATCACATCAATAAAACACCAAACACAAATTTGAGTTAATAAAATACATGAGTGAATAGAATGAATGAAGTATTAGTCACAACACCTAAATCAATGATGTCTACTATCATGTAATATTTTAAAGAAAGAAAAAGAACTCTGTAATGTATGTTCAATAATTCAGTTTATAGAGAAAATTGACTTAAAAGAAATACCTAGTTCATGCCCTTGCTTTCTGATTTAGATGAACCCATGATTACTGGAATGATGTTTCATCATTGCTGTGGAAATCTTCTCCTTTCATACCTAAGAGGTGGTTTTAGTGGGTTCAAGTCTCACATTGTGGCTTTCGATGCTTTTCACCTATTGCGATCGTAGCGCAAAATCTGTTAACATTTATAATAGTCTACCATTTATAACGGTTACCAAGTACCGCTTTTCGAAATCTCTCCTAACAGTACCATCTCGTTTGGTAATATTTTTTAAGAAATTTTCTTAAACTTAATGTGCTGAAATATAAATATGTCGACAAAAATTATTAAGTACCAAAATCAGACATTTAAATTTGAAGAAAATAACATAATTTGCAATAAATGCTTTCATCAAATTCGCTACTTAACACTCAAAGCTAATATCTAAACATGTGTAACAAATGCCACTTTCCGACACAACATATAACATAACATATAACAAATGACAAAATATGTCAAATGTCAATTAATTGAAAGAAATCTGTGTCTTTATCTACAGAGTGTCATTTGGCAAATGTATTTTGCTAGTAACAACAGCGCACTTAACGACATATAAAGTGGCTTTGAAACTCAATCATAATTGCCAAGTAAACTCTTCAAACATATTTTGCTACACACTTTACCATGTGAGAGTGATATGAGTTTTTTTCTATTTTTTTAAAAATTTAATAAAAATAGAACAAAACTACTTGTACGTTCTTAGGAGCCACGAGCTGTGGATAATTCGAATGTACCAAATCCAACAAATAACATCTGGAAAATTTCACATATCGCCTAGCCACAAATTGAAGGAAATATTAAAAAGATATGAAGACAAAGTATTTAGTTTACGCATCTAACGTATGTATACACTTATAAGATAGGCCAGCAGTTTTTTTAGAGATATTTGACATGTATATATATAGAATCGACATTATCTCCAGGGCGGCAAAATTCACACGCATTCAACAGAAAAAGGAAAAAATAAAATATTTTTTGAAAATAAAAATAAAAAAAAATGTAGTTTAAAACTTATTTAGAAAAACATATAGAAAAAATAAAAACGAAGAATTGCTACTAACAAAATATGTACAAGTAAACATCAGTAAGAAAATCAATTGGCTTCGATCTTTTCATTCATGTCATGACTCACAACGAACTATTCACAACTCCCAGAAACAATGCGTTCATTCTTCGAAAGTATTGAGAACTATCATCTAAGCAACAGCAACAGCATTAGTATCACCACCAGCAGCAGCAGCAGCAGCTGTAGCAACAGCATGAATCTCAATCTAGTAAAGTACTTAATCTTAAAATCTTACCCAATTGTTGCCTACGTACAAGCGCTCACTATTTAACACCCCACGTAATCACCTCCGTAGCGCAAGTGTTATAATTCTAATTTGGAGATACAAGTGCAAAGATCTCAATTGTGGGAGAGTACAGATAATCCATCCTCTGGAAATTTGTACATCACAAAAATTCCAATACGGAACAAATAACACTTTTAGTTTTAGTCGAGACGTGCTGTCGAGTGCTGGGCAATCCGAGATTCATACAAATCATAGAGGTGGCAAATGTACTCGCAGGGCCTTCTAATGTTTATATTAGGCAGTAATTAAATTGGTATAGATCAACAAAAACAAAAAAAAAACAAAAATTGAATTAAAAAATAAACACAAATAAACATATCATAAAGTATTAACATATCGAAGGCAACACGCGAAAAATTTTGCAGTTTAATTGAGGAATAAAAATTTAATGGATTTCATTGCGTTCAGTTCGGTTCCAGAGTTAATTTGCATATCGTAACAATTGTTAATGAGCTGCGTGCGTGTGAACGGAACATTTGTATTAACTTGAGAATAATTAGTGAAATTGAATTTGAAATTGAAATTGAAATATTAGTTCAACGTGCATTACTGCAACAACAAAACTGCACTTCCTTGCCATTGCATTGTGTTTTAAATGCGAAAATTTCTTAATATTGCAACATTCTGTGCAAGTCAAGCGAAGGAAAAAATACTAAAAACTGCAAATGCATTCCACGACATGCGGCATAGGTGCATCCGCAGCTAATTCAACTACTGCGTCTTTGCAATCGTAAGTGCTTATTATTATTATGTTAATATGAAATTGTTTATTTTAAAGCAAATGCATAAAATGCATAAGTGCAAATCATCATAGTAATATTAAATAGTCACCTACACAGTAAAAGTTGCAATCAAGTATCTGCTTTTGAGTCAAAGAATACAGATACTTTCATTGAATCTTAGGATTTTTGATAGAATAACAATAAATATTTATAAATTATATATAATAATTTATCATTTTGATAATAAATAAAAAAATAATATTATTTTGTGATGAAAAACATAAAAATTATGCAATATTAACTCAATACAGTTGGGATACAATGGATATTCCCAGATCAGATTGTATTTTTCATTACCACATAAAACGCAATAAATAAAGAGTAACCAAAATAGAGATCACAATTTGGGATAAATATCAAACGGACATGTCATCCAAAACATAATACGTTTTGTATAGTGTTTACCATTTTACAATTTAGATCGTTTAACAACCTCTGAACATGATACAATTGCGAAAACTTACTACAAATATTACAATTTTGCAGTAAGCACAGTTTTTATTGAATTTTCTTTATTTAGCATAAATATGTCATATGCTTGATAAATATCTCAACAAATAAAATTGTGACAAGTGATAGTGATTATTGCCTTGAATAAAACATCCATAAAAAATCATTATACCTATTATTACCCAATTACTCAATAATTGTGACAGACCCATATTTTTTTAAAAATGTCGAAGATATGACACAAACAGTCAATTCTGATCACTAAAATTATGAATTTTTTGGCATGTAATTATAGATATGAGTCTATTGAATATAGATATGGAGCATATATAATTTCAACAGAACTGTGCTACCTGCTCGAAAAATTTTCCCAACGTGTAATTTCATACTTTGGTGTTGTAAATTGCCTATAAAGTTTATATGGTACGACACCATTGGAGAGGTGCTCAACTCATACTATGAGATTTCAGTCCCAATAGTTTGAAAACTTTAAAACAGCTTAACGAACATCTGTCAACTTATGGTCAAACTATTTCCAGCTTTATCTCAACAATTCATTGAAAAGTATCTTAAGTAGATTTAATATTATAAAAAGTAATGTTATACATCACACCTATTAAAAAACTCAGACAATATACTAAAATAAAAACATGATAGAAGTTCTTATCAGAAGTGCATTTTATTAACGTTTACTTTTAGAATCACAGAATGGATGATCCTGAACAGAGTATATTGAAAACAAACTATATTGTCTGCAAACTTATTAACAAATTAATTTACAAGTTCTTGAAGGTTTTTTACTTGAAATCATCTAATATATATTTTTTTTAATATTTTTATTATTTTGGATTTATTAAGCATATTAATTGATAACCTGTACCTGATAACCTGATGATAACCTGTAAGAATGCCTTTTTGATAAGTATAACTTTTTATATATTGTTTCTGAGATATAGTAATTATAAAGTATATAAAGATGATGATTTTATGATTACGCCTATAGGTTAAAGGGAATTCAAATATTTTATTAAATATATTGTAACATATATTGGAAATTGTATATCGGAATGTATATTGTATGTTTTCAATCATTCAATATGCAATGAATTTATGGCCTTGTTAAAAGCAAGCTATTTTAGAAGAAATGGGGACTAACCTTGATTTCCCGCTTTTACTACTGTTCTTTTTCAGTGAAACAAAAACCCTGCACGTAGATCATATATGAAATACTGTTTCAAGGTTCTTTACTGATACTATTCTGGAGTATATAAGTATCATTCAAATCCTCAAAAAAGTGATTTAAAAATTTTAAAAGATAACATTGATATTTTCTTTCTTCTGTGTTTTTAGAATTTAAGCTGGGAAATATAGAAATTATATATTTATATCAATTATATATTCAAAAGTACTTCTAAAAATGCTGTAGCATAATTTAAATGTCTCATTTATACTTTCTATAATAGCAAAGATCTAGGTTTTGAAAACTTTTTAAAATAGTTTTTGTTAATATTGTTATTAAAATAAAAGAAATAAAACAAAATAAAAATATATTAATAAAAAATTTAGTTAAATAATATATTATTACAACTTTTTCATATATCTGCTTAAAATGAAAGAATTTCTTTTTTTTATGAGCAATTAATTTTTTATATTCAAACAATTTTGGTTATCTTTCACATTTAACTGTAGTGCAAATTTGAAGCTATAGTAAAACCACATAAAATTATTTTTAGTACCAAAAATTCTAGATTAAAATTTTTTCACTATTCTTTTATTACACTGAAGATTTATATATACTTCGTTGTAAATGAAAAAATAATTTTTAATGACCACAGAAATGCGAAAATATTATTAAAACTGTTTTTCTACCAGATTTACAATTTATGAAAATTAGTATCAAATGTAGTCTTAAAATATTATGGAACCATTAAAAGATTTGAATTGAAAATTATTTAAATTCTTCACTGTTTAAATAAATGTTTGTTTCATAAATTGTACAAATCATTTTTACCAGAAAAAAAATTTCTTATAAATAAAACATTTATTTAAAGAGTAATGAGCTAATAAAAATATTAGGTGATTACTCTGCCATAACTTATAAAATTTTTTTTTAATAATTACTAAAAACATTTTTTTTTTCACGAATATTATATTACACTTTAACATAAATATACTGCAAAGCCGATTTACAACGTAAATTTGGGAATAATCCTCAGTCTTCGATATTGGACATTTTAGATACCTAATAGTGCAGTCTAAAACTGACCCTTAATGTATATAATAATAGGAATCAAACAGCTGAATCAGGTCTTAACTTCTTCTAGCTCCTAAATTGAACTCAGCATTATAGTGAGTAATTGGGAAACCATGAATAAAATTCTCAAATCTCGTTAGCGAAAAGAGGTTGTACACATATCTTCCTCAATGCATTTTATTATGTTGAGGCTAGTTGAGTCAGTGCATCTGAGCACTTTTACTCTCTATTAACTGCGAGGTTTCTTCAAAACCCCTCTTTGCACCATGACGGGATTATTGTTTATCATTTCATCAGACTAAGCAATAATTGACCTCAGATCTGCAATCTCAGAGCCTGTAACCATTCTGAGATTTGATAACGCGGTGTTAGTTAGTCTGTCAGATTTCGCAAATAATTTCAGGGCTCTATCCTTTATGTATTTTTTGATGGGATCAATCTTGAGGTCCCTGAGGATGTCATTCGTCCTAATGTAATGTTTTGCTTGAATTTTGACTTAAAATTTTGCCAGCTGTGTTGTGTTTACAAAATAGACAAACATAAAAAAGTAAAGATATAATCCAAACAACCACTAGAATAGAAAATGGAAAATTAATTGAATTCTGTGGAGCGGATCAGAGCGACTATATCAGATCTCTTGCAGCAGCAAACAGATATAATATATGTATGTGCAATAGCAACAAGATATAAAAGGTATTTAGACTAAATATAGAAAAAAATAATGTAACTGAAGTATACATATTTTGTGTCCCAGTTACCGACTCTAACCGCTATCCTAACATTTTGGATGATGTTCAGAATTTTATTTATTCAAGGATTCTGCAAATCAAGTGTTGATATTATTCTCAGTAGCAGTAATTTTTTCCTATCCCGGATCAAAGCTGGATTGTGTCAAATAATCTGAATAAATATCTCATCGTGTTTTAAGGGAAGACGATATTTTGTCACCACAGACCAACCTAAATACGTTTTGCAATCTTAGCTGTATCGTACTGAGAAAAGATATCGTGATGATGCTATTCCTTTGCAATTATTTAGCATAAACTTAGTCGTGAACTAAGTTCGGTAGTTTTTTTTTATTGGAAACATAACATATACATAAATCTATTAGTGTTAATATATTGAATTTTTGGTGGAACGTATGCAAACTGTATTTAAATGCATGGCACTAAAATGTTTACAGACTATTATAAATTATATAAAAATCTTTATTATTAACTTATAACTAATTTGAAGAATATTTAAAAAATATATATTCTATCTTCTAAGTGCTATAAAATAGCTATACTATCACAGAAGTACAAACAAGTAAGAATGCACTTAGAATGAATTAATTTAGTTGTTCTCTCTTCACTGCCTGATTAAATGTTGGCGATATGAAACTAAGCAACCGAATAGTTACAAAGATCTAAATACAATATATAGAACTTATATGTATATGTGAAAATAAATATCTAAGCGAAAACTTTTACATTTGTGTTTCTTATGTGTTGAACATTATAATAAATTTTCCTAATAAGCATACAAAGTAACAAAACCAATTTCAGATGTGAATTTTAAATTTTCTAAATTTATGGAAATAAATAAATGTCTAATAAATAAACTTGAAATATAGTGAATAACTTCTACATACACATAAATATGTATATATGTATAAATTAAAACAAATTCAATTTGCAACAGCTGTTGATTGACTTGACTACTTATCCTTCAATTTACGAGTACTCAAGAATGTACCAGACGATATGCCATTGAAAACACTTTCAGTTAATACAGAATAGAACTTACATTGGAAAATATTTTACAAACTTAATTTTATTTTATTTAATTTTATAATTCGAAATGCGTATAATGATTTTTAATAAAAACTTTTTTTTTTTAGAAAATCAATAAATTACTACTACTCGTACTTGATTTATATTAAAGTTAATTTTTCAGTTCATTATATGATCATAATGTTGTTTCTTTTTTGGATTATTTTTGCAATAAATTAATTTAGTGACAGCTTAAATTGTGCTTAAGACATTTGTTGAAAAGTATCTTCAACAACTTCATTCATATGTGTTGGAAATTTTTCAAATTTTCAAGTGAAACCAAAGAAATATAATATATATTTTTTTTAATAGGCATACGTATTAAAAATCTATAAGAATCAATTGTTGTCGACCTTGAGAAGTAATTAATGTATTTATTGCCTCAACTTTATGTCTGACACAAATTCAATTTACACCCACGCCCTTCTTT